GGCACAGAATGTTTTTCTATTCCTTTACTTCAGGCTCCACTCAGAAACTGTTGCTGCCTTAAACATTAGGTCTGAACCAAGGCTGGGGGGTTTGCATGTTCTCCCTGTCCCCCAGCCCCTTACAAGAATTAACAATGGAGAAACTTTTCTTAAATAAATGAGCTCTAATTAAAGACTGGATTTTAAAAGGTTAATCAGGATGAGATCTTGCAACTTTAATTACCTCAATTAAAAATAGTTTTTAAGATATTACCAGCATCTTTATCAAGGATGCACATATGTCCATATTTGAAAGGGAATTGGATCTGGATCTTTTGGAAGTATGTAACTCCCTGCATAATTATAATAAAGCAATTTATATGCATGAAACAAGCAGAACACAATGGCAATAGCCATACTGCTCCACTTGTGAAAGTAAAATCTGTTGGGCTCTTTTTGGCATAAATACAATTATTCTTATTGCCACTTGCCAGACAGGACACTGTAAAAAAAAAAAAAAAAAAAAAAGTATGTAACTAATTCAAGTGAAGAATCAGAGCAAAATTCATATTTAAAAAAAGATCTTTCCCTCATGCATAATTCCAAATGTTTTTCCAATGAACTCAACATGACAGATTTACATGTTTTTTATAGAGGACATGACATCCTGTTCTTCCATGCATTTCAATTTAAGGCTTTGGATGTTTTTATGTATTGACTCATTGGATTATAAATAAACCTACAGTAAAAATCACTTAAAAAAAGGTTCCCTGTTTTGAATAATACTTTTAACTCTTCCCAGAAAAACCTATGAAAATGAAGTCAAACCATCTTGACCAGGTGATTTTCCTACTGACATTTGTTTAAAAGCAAAACCTAACTCTTCTATTTGTATTTCAGAGTCACATAACATTTTGAACGTGAAGTCAATTCTAGGAATGTTGTGTTTAGTGCTTTCCAGAAAGAATATTGAAGCTATGATTAACAGACTGAGTCATAGAGAGATCTCTCTGATTTCTCCGTCTCAGATCACAAGGAGACACAAGTTGAGTCTGAGAATTATATTCGAGCTTGTTGAAATATTTTCTGAAACTTAAAAGGAGACTAAATCAAGCTTTAGAAGATGTACACAACAGAGACACAGGAGAAATAAAGTTAATTTTGGTGTCACATATAGTTGTTTAGCAGAAGTACATGAAACATTCTGGAGATCTCATTTCAGATTTTCCTTTCCTCTGGGTTTAACAAGCCTTTTTTTTAAGCCACAGCATGTAGCTGTTGTCAGCAGAATAGAGCTGAAGAGAGAAAACATCCTAAATACTTTCACAAGGTTATGGGAAAACAGGGCTGCGCGTGTAAAGACTGCAATCAAGTTAAAAAAAAAACTAGAAAAAAACCCACTGACCTCCCTGGAATGCATGCTCAGTCAGCTTCAGATAGGTGCAGATTTTCATTATTTTCTTCTTCAATGAAAACAGTATTATCAAAATAACATGAGATGAGATGATAGGATGAGTGAAAATTAAAGATCCTTTTGCATATGTTTAAAAAATACATTCAATCAGCTGCATTAATCTCGGGTAAGGTCATCAAAACAATTAGCAGATCAGAAATATTCAGGGGCAAGTCTATTATTAAAGACATATAATTTCAGTTTCACTGATACATTTCAGCAGATAATTTAGAACCAAGAGAGAGAAACAATGAGACGTTAGCTTGTTTGCATGGGCTTGCGTGTGTATGTGTTAGTGGTTAGACAGCTGATGCATGTCGTGACTGCAGCCTCACACTCCTCCCTTCACATCAGACACAGTGAACACATTCTACCGAAGTTACTTTCTTAAAGTCCTGTTTTTGTTGTACTTTCCTCAGACATATACATACACAGTGGCTCTCCTTCATTCCATCTTTGGAAAAAAAATGTTTATATGTTCATCCCAGCTTGTTTCCTTTCATGCTCTTCCATCTTTTCAGGTTTTATCTCTCCGCTCAAAAGGAGCTGCATGTGGACGGTGCTGGCACAAAGATGCATCACCGCACACTCTGCTGCTGGAGCAAATATGAACTCTGTGTCCAGCACTCTCCCATTTCTGCCCTTGTAAAAGTCACTTCCTTTGTTCGTCTATGACACATTCCTATAAATACACAGTGGCTAAATTTATACCGGGCGTTGTGTGACTGGTGTTGGCACAGATATAAATTGCAGAGTATTAAGCAAGAGAAAAAGACCTTGTTGTCATGCTGACTTCTTAAGAAACCAAGACAACCATTTAAGAAACATTAGTGGCACGAATCGAGTCAACCTTCATGCTGCAGTCAGGTCTTCGAGTCTTTTTGGGCCTTTATTCAAGTTTCACATGTAGACAATAAAGTTTTTTGCCAAGTTGTCTTTTAATATCAGATCCAGCTCAGCGGGGGTTAGGTATAAAACGTCGATTTCCAAGTCTTGTTATAAAGAGAGTCGCAGTTTGATTGAAGTCTAGACTTTAAGTTATTCGAACAGAACATCGACCTTAATGTAAGAACTGTTTGTACAAACAAAATAAATTCTTATTTGTACAAATGATTTAGGAGAAATTATCACATTCACCATTCATCTCCTATTTCTCTAAAGTATGAACAATTCTTTTGAGTGATGCAGACCTGACATAGGAGTCCTGCGCAACCAGCCAGCTATTAACAAAACCTAGTTTTTCAATAAATTACTGCATTTCTTTTTCTTAGATCAACTGTTATTTATCTACATCATTATATATCATGCAACTCTGCAGTTATAAATAAGTTCTGTTTAATTTGCTGATGAAAGAACTATTGGTCGCTACCACTGCACCTGGCATGTCGGCATCCAGGGGACACTGGCTGAATTTGTTGTAATAAAAAAAAAATACGGTAAAAGAACATTCAGAGATCAAGATACTATTAAAACAAAAATAAAAAAATGAATAGAAAGTTTAGCAAAACTCCTCTACTGGTGAGACTTTGAATTCATTTAATCCATGGGCTCTCTTTGGCTTTGTTATTACATAAAATGTGGAATGTTTGGGTCTACATTTTACCAATTAGTTTCAATGTTTACATTTGTATTTGTATGCGTTATGAGAGAGATGGAGAGTACGATCTCCTTTTAAAACACACACATAGGTGCATGTATTAAAAGGTTTTGTTGAATGTTTTAGTGTTAATTGATGGAGAACTCATCAAACATTTATATCATATGTTGCAACAGTGCAAGCACTGCATTTACAGCTTTTGTAATGTTTTTCACTGCTTGACTTCCTTTAATTCTGCTGCTCAGCTCTCAGTCAGCTGATTTTCGATCTTTGAACCCAAATAGTTTTTATCTTTCTTCGTCTTCAATGCCATTTCTATGAATAAACAACTCCTGATAAGCGTGGGAATGTGTAGCCCTCCCCTTTATATATGTAGCCTTATATAGCATTGTTGGGGTGGTAAATATGCTGATTTATTTTTCTCAGGTACACATGCTCTCTTACACAGGTGGACTTCATCAGGGTTATGAGGACTATTTACAGAAGTTAGGAACGTTTGTTGAATCTGATGTGTGGTGTTAAAAAAAGCCCATGGTTAAGAGAAAAAGTAAGACATATTTCCAACAAGAATGTGAAAATGTTTTTGCATGAGGTCCTTTGATCTCAGCCATTGCAGCGAGACTCTGGCTGTATGTCTGGACTCATCTTGCTATGTTTTTCTTAAGCTTCTAACAGTTTTTCCCCCCAATATTATTCTATATCTAGCTCCATCCATCTTCAAGGCAGCCTAGTCCTTTGTGAGGAACAGCATTATAATCCCATGCTGCCACCACCGTGTTTTACTCTGGTTCTTTCAGTGGTGAAGCACAGTGCTTTAGGTTCTATCCCCGTATAGCATTTTGCATGTTAGCCAAAAAGGTTAAACTTGGTTATTTTATTTTATTTTTTTATCATAGCACCGTCTCTCAACCATTTTCTTGTTATGCTGTACTTTTCTTTTATCAAACTTTAAACAGGAAGTTTCTGCGTACAAATGCAAGTCATGTTTTTTTTTTTAGAGGGAATGAATACTTTTAAAAAGCACTGTCTGCCCACCTCTTGCTGAAGTGCAGCATTTTTCTCAGCCATCAGATCCAGATCAGCTCTAGCTTGGCTCAGCTCTTCCGCCTCCTGTCGGTGCAGCTCCTCCTCTCTCCTTTCTGTCTCTTCAGCCCTCCTCTCAGCCTCTCTGCGTCTCTTCTCCTGCTGAAGCTCCTTTTTCAGATGCAGTACCTCCAGCCTTCCCTCCTCCAGCTAAACAGGAGAGTGAACATTTAAACAGTAATGCTTAACCCTCATATTCACCCCATTTCAGAAAAAAAATATTGTGCTGCTCTTATTTTTTTCACTAATTGCAAAAAGTGCTCACTAGCTGCTGTTATATACATAATTTTTTTGGTAGGAAGGAATCTGCAGTAAAAAAAAAAACCAGCAGTACCAGAAAGAGGTATTTAGCATTTATCTAGAAACTGGAAATGTAATGTCGACAAATTAGTGACCCTATTCGTTTTAAAACTTCTGTGTCCTTCCTCGTTGCTCATACATTCAAGCAGTGGGTGGAAATATATTGGAGGATGTAGGAGGGCTGTTTGCGTGTCGCTCTCTGCAGTCTCACCTCCGCTGTCTGGATTTAAAATCTCTTGCACACCACAAAATTAATCATACTGTCTGCATGCAATTGTGTGTGCTACAAGAACTCTAAAAAGCATGCAGTGTAAACACCCCCACAGGCAGGATCTAGGACAGCAAGGCAGACAAATAATGAGGGTAGCTGTTGGAAGGAAGTTAGAGCAGCTCTTCCTTAGTTCATCTGGACCTTATCGAATTAAAGCAAGCTGCATCACAAACATTATCTTTAGGCTTTGCTAAACTGTTGAAACATCTATCAAAGTTGCTGCCCTGCTCAAAATGTTATCACTCAAGTAAGAAAAAGAGCACTTTGTCATAAAATATGTCATGGATTATAAGTCTGTGAAGATTTTACAGAGGAATTCAATCATCCACCTTCTGGTGGAGCTGTGAATTTTCATTATGACACTGAGAAATCAGCATCTGGTTCTTCTCTCTCTCTTTCTTCAGCTCTATGTCAGCCTCCCTACGAATCTTATCCAACTGCTCCCGTAGGTGCAATTGACTCAGAGACCTTTCTTCTCCCAGAGCAGAAACCAGCTGCAGAAAAAAAACAAGCAAAAAGAAACAGAAAAAAATATATAACATGGTTGACGAGGAGTCCATTTTAGGCCATGTAGATGGATTTGTTAATAAGCAACTTAATTACTATTATTAAGGTCTAGAGAAATACTAGTTCTTTCAGACTTGAGCCAGGCAGTAAACCTTTTCAGTAAGAAATGTTGTCGGAATTTGAATAGGTTTTTTTTGCTTTTTGAGGGCAAGTAGATTCTACAATATTTTTGAAGAGGTTGTGAATTTTCTCAGAGGAACAAGAGTTAAAACCAAATGTACAGGTGGAAATATGCCTACTAATATTTAAAAGTTACATGATAACTGGGATAATTGTGACTGGATATTTGACAACAAATACTATTAGAATATATATATATATATATATATATATATATATATATATATATATATATATATATATATATATATATATATATATATATATATATATATATATATATATATATATTTAACATATAGGGTTCCCATTTTGCAGCATCTGTTAGATATTGGAGCTTGGCCTGTTTTTTCAGTGTAGTACTGTTTCTCTGACCCTGACTATAAAGACAGACTTTATTGATCTCACAGCGGAGAAATTCACTTGTCACATCGGCTCAATAGTCAAGTGATTTATGTGCGCTCTTTCATCCTCTGAGGTGGGGGCTGGCTCAGAGCTCATCTGCCGGATTGTGTGTTTCCTAGATGGAGCCGCCTGTGGAGTTGGTAACAGTTACCTGACTCCTTCTGTCTCCTTGAACTGCAGTCGGCCTAGGCAGATGAGAGAACCTAGACAGATAACAGAACCAGCCTCACACTGAGCTTGGTTCTGCTGGAGCTTTCTTCCTGTTAAAAGGGAGTTTTTCCTCTCGCTACAAGCATGCTTAGTGTAAGGGATTGCCTTTGAGTTAATGAGTCGATGCAATCAGCTGGTTTTCCTTAGATAGAAAACTGTGAACCAATCTGACGGTATGATCGGGTTGAATTATCTCTATAAATTGCCTTGACTTGAATGACGTGTTTGTAAATTGGGGCTATAAAAATAAACTGAATTTAAATTGAAACTTAGACTGGTTTCTTAGCATAGACCGAAAGTTAAAGCATAACCTATCATGAGGACTATTCTACTAGCTTGTATCAGTCTGGCTCAGTCATTCAAAAAAAATCTAAATGTATCTTTGGTACCAACAGTGGCTATGATAGAAAAACAGTACCTCAGTATGATACTATCACTACTTTATTTTAAAATGGGACAATGGTTGGTACAAGAGCTTCAAAGTGGACAGTAAAACTGGTGGTCTGCTAATGTATATGAGAAAAAAGAAAAGGTACAATACTTTGCATCCTGGATTGTTCCTGAACCTTCCAAATATTTATCTTATATCTGAGGAAGACTGTTTTAAAAACACATGTTTCATAATGCCAAAGGCTAATTCAATTCAGTTCAATTCAATTCAAAAATACTTTATTAATTCCAAAGGGAAATTAAATGTTGCAGGAATTCTTAGGATTTATTGAGACCCGTAAATACATCACAAAACATGCTTCAAATGGAAGCAACCTGAATTTAACTCAGTTTTTCTGAAAATGATTCGACATCCATTCCAAAGCCTATGCCAATTCTAGCAGCTAATACTAAAGCAACCTGGAGCAGGAGGGCAGATGCAAAACAATGATGCAACTGTCGTTCCTCAGGGTTGTTGGAGTCTGTTATTTGGTATTTGTAACTGGCCATACATTAACCTGAAGAAAAACTTTAAAGAATGAATCCACTCATAGTCTCATTATCTTGTAATGACATAAACATACATTTTTACATTATAGCAATCTAAGCAAACAAAATGTTAGACCTCTTTTTGCACAGAACACCACGTCTGTCTCCAGACCGCAAAGCTCAGGTATACTTTTACTCGGGCTCAACCAAAGCCACCTTTCTTTTCCCATCAGCTGAGGAAGTCCAAGAGAATCGGTGTCAGTGCCAAAGGCCGACGCTATTGTGATGTGTAAATTTGTGTGCGATTGCGTGCATGTATGCCTGCAAGTGTGAAAGAAATGGTGGATGTGGGTGTGAGAGAAAAAAAAAGAAATAACAAAGTGGCGTGTGAAAATGTGTATATTTGACCTAGAGCGTGCATTTGTGTTATGGTTGGGGTTTGAGAGGCTGTATGAGAGACTTAGATTGCGTGTGTTGGATGAAATGAGAAAACACCACTTCCTCTTCGCTGGTTGAAAAGTACGTGTGAGGAGCAGGGATGGTTTGTGTGCGTAAACTCTGTGCGTGTATGTACACAGCTGCAGTTTGTGTTTGAAAAGAGCAAAAGAGTGGCCACTTCCTTTTCATGTGTTATAAACCCAAATGAAGTCAGGAAGCCCATGATGAGAAATAACCTGCTTGGATGTCTACCAATGTGGGAGATGTTTGCAAGTATTTTCTGTGTCAGCGCTGATCTTCACACGTATATGTGTTGGTGTGTTTGTCTGTGACATTTTTACATCTAGATGGGAAAGTTTTTAGCAAACCAAACCAGTCTGTATTGGTCTAAATGTAGAAAATGTATGACGCCGCAGAATGAGTCGAATCGGTCCAAGATGACTCAGAGGAGTTATGTATATCGCTTAATATACTTTTAAACACCACCCCCATTTTCATGCTTCCATCTATGTTCCTGTCCAGGCAGCTAAACGAAAACTTATATATATATATATATATATATATATATATATATATATATATATATATATATATATGTAGATGATAAATTACACTAGTAATTCAGATTACACAAAACTGAAAAAAGTGATAATAAATAAAACATAACTAAATAAAAATAACAAGCTAACAATGAACCAACATAGCTGTCAACAGCTGTAGCAGTCTAACCGAACATTTGCTGAACATTAAAGAAAACACCTAATTTCAGTGATTGTCTCAAAATGGCTTTATAAAATCTTATTTCAAGAGCTCTTTTAGGCTTTTTTACTTATTTTTATTTTTTTTTATTTTGTCAGTTTCAGTTTATTTCCCTGGCAGCAGTTTCATTTGTCTTTAATAGATATATGGATAGATAGATAGATAGATAGATAGATAGATAGATAGATAGATAGATAGATAGATAGACAGACAGACAGACAGACAGACAGACAGACAGACAGACAGACAGACAGACAGACAGACAGACAGGCAGACAGACAGACAGACAGACAGGCAGACATAGATATCCTTCTGATAATAATCGAGACTAAACTTTTTCTGCTTTAGATCAGTTAGAATTAGCATACTCTGTCCAATTAGTTAAATACCAGAACACTTACATAATTAATGGCTTTCTACAAATAAATATGTTTACAGAATCTTACATTACTATGCCATCAAACAATTTAAATGAGGCACTCTGATTAATTTGGCTCTGCAATTTCTCGTTGGTTATTTCACAGCATCAGAGTTCACTGCTGGGACACCAGTGGATGTTATATAAGGCCCTGTCCAAACAGACACAAAATCTGTTTCTTTTAAAAAAGACTAGACAGATTGTTTGCTCCCCCTGTTCCATTAAACTATGATGAAAAACATAAGGAAAAACTGTCAATTTCAATTTTTATTGTAGCATTAACAAAGGCTAATATTTTGGTCACCTTAAGTGACCTAAAACAGGAAGAGTTTTTTCCTGAGGTCAGAAAATGTAGAATGAAAAAAAACATGCTGACACAATCTTGGTATAAATATGGATAGTGCTCATCCTGTAAAATTCAGTTTTTATCAACTTAAAAAAATGGCTAAAATGAAACATGTTCTTTGAAAACAGGGATTTTAGACTTTAATCCATGTATTTCTGAGAACAGACGTTAACTATAGTAACTCTCTACTGCAGCGTCTCACTGACATCCGTCTCCTCTCCGACTGTTGGAGAATGGAGCGTTTTTTTGTTGATTTTTTTTTTTATCGGTACACATAACTCCTGTTTTGGCCTCACTGCCAGGCTGCCTCCCCATTCTTGGGTTTATTTTAAGATTTTCAGATCATTTTATTTGTTTATATATGTGTAAATGCTCCTGCCCTGCCCTACTTCTCTGAGCTTTTACAATTACATGGCTTTACTTTTCCTTCAGGTCAGCGAAACCAGCTTCTCTGAGTGGCTGAGAGGTGCTCAGAGGGCACAGAGCATTTTCTCCAAGGCTTTAGAAATCACTGCCAGGGAACATTAGAACAGGCTCTTCACAATTAATTTTTAAATGTCTTCTGAAAACTAATCTTGATTGCATTAGCTTTTGAACCAGCATGAAAGAGGTCTCTCTATTTTTTTGTCCCCTTGTATTTGTGTTTTAATGCATATCTATGATATCTGGAACTTTGTCAGTTCCACTGTTTTTAAAATGCTTTCTGAATAAAATGAGCTTGGTGTGATTACACACAGAGTGATATTTATTTATACGGTTCAGTTTTGTTAACCCAGTAATGAACAGATTTACATGATTTAGAACAAATATTTGTCTTTAGATATGGAGCTGTTTACTAACCAAAAGGTAATTTCATGTGCTTTGCAGTATACACTACATCATTAAAACACTTTACAGAACAGTATTTTATATTGTTAATTATTTTAACTCTTCACTATTATTTTCCTTTTATACACTCTCCAATTTTTGCTATAATCTGTTTGCAGCTGTAACACCAGTATTTCACCATTGTGGGACAATAAAGGGATTTTCTATTCTATTCTATTCTATTCTATTCTGTATACATGTAGGCTACTTAATACTAGTCATTTTTTAATGGATTACTGCACTAATGTGGTTTTAAATGGAGGCAAACAACCCCTAGATCTGCAGACCAAGTTAAACATCGGTCGCTTCGATTGCAGCCTACAGCTTATATGCATCATGGGGTCTAGTGTTTCTCATCTTTTTACTGACAACAATCCAAAGATTCTATATTAGGTTTAATGCAAGCCTGTTTTCTGGCAATTTTAAATACAGCGATAAATAACGTTTTTCTTTAAAAAGTGATATTTGGCAATAGGACCAGATGCCAAAACCTGCTGGAGAGTGAAATTAATATATCTATAAAGCTTGACAGTAGTTGGAAGCATGAGTTGCTTTAAAATCTCCACACAAGTGGGTCCATTATGTGCTACAGAAATCACCACTGGCTGGGAAAACCTCCCACTGGGCTTAAGGCAACTTGAATTCTGTGTCATTTGGTCTTGGGTCTTCAGTTCCAAGTTAACTTTTTGCTTTGTGAATCTCCAATTTGATGGACTTTAAATCAGAATCCCCTCAAGGCTGTGTGGATTCTAACATATTTATCATTTAATAAACATCTAGAATAAATCTGTGTTTTGATTCTGCAGGTTATCACAGATAAATTTCACTTTTGAAAAGAACTTTCAACATTGGTTGTTAAAGCTTTGAGTAACAATGCTGACCCCCCACTTCATTTGCTGCACACTGCTTTTCACCTTTCTAAATTAAAAAATACTGTTCTTTAGAAAAGTTTTTATTCATCACTCCTGAGCTCAACCTATTTGTCAAGGTCTTTTCTTCAAAGCTTGACAGCTTATTTACTCATTTTCTATCACATCACTGTTTATAAGCAGAGCAACATATAATATTGCACATGCTTCATATTATCAAAACTAGACAGGTGTGGGACAAAAAAAAGTCTTCACTAGTTACAACCACATCTGAAATCACATTTTTGAAAGTCGGATATATTCGCCATCCCTTAGCTGATTATTTACAGAGTTTTTCTAAGGCATAGAATTGTGCCGCATTTGTTCTATTTTTCATAGGTAACTATTTGACTAAGTGAAGTTTTCCTAAGAGCAGGCAGTTGAGATCATTTCTCAAAGGTACTGCAATGAAAATAGGGTAAAAAGCAAAACCCAAAGAAAAATCTGAAAGACCTTTAGAGAACCAGATCAAAAACTCATCACGATATCTTTGAAAAATTGCAAAGAACCATCCACCTCCTTCTTTTAACAAAAACCAGTGAATGAGGCCTTAAGATCTTTACAAAGCAAAAATCTTTCTTTTTTGTGAAATATGTTCTGCATGTAGATATAAAGCTAAAGGTCAGTGCCTCTTCCTGCAGGACAGCATGGCACTCCAGCACTGTTGCCTAAATGTCACCATGTGCTTATATTTGTGCACATTCAGTTTATCGGGGGCTAAACAGACTGTTGTTCCTGGAGCCTCATAATCTCCTCCACATTTTGCCTTGGGATTCTCCCTATTTAAACTCTCCTGAACTGAGACAATGACTTGGAATCGCTCCGAAACGCCTGTTTACATCAGTGTAAACCGATCCACCCGCAGTCACAGCTTTCAGCCCAGGTTCGTTACAGCTCGTCATACATTAGAACACTGAATCATAGACATTACGTCTCCAAAGTAAAATCACACCAGGCAACCTCTAATCAGTTATCCGTTTCCTACTTTCCAAGGTTCTTACTCTTCAGATTTTTTTTTTTTTTATGAAAGAGTATCTGGTGTAGTGTTTATTTGTACTCTCTTATTTGTTTTCCCAAAATAATCCAGCCACTTTGTAATTGAATTCACCAAAAGAGAAGAAAGCATGGACGAATTATGGTTACAGTATATGTAAAGTAACATGTTACACACTAAATTAACTTTTTGTTTTTAAATGTGATTATTACGCTCACCTTTGAGGCTAGCTCTTTACTATGGTCGTACTTCATGCTGGTGATGGCTCTGTCATGAGACTCCATCAAAATATCCCTGCAAATACACACACAATACACACATATTGCAGCGTTACTTCATTGAAATAAAGTTTTGTGTGTTGTAAGAGACATTTGTTACGTTCGGTAGAACTTACACATTACCCAGTAAGTCATATAAACTGAACACAGTTATGGGAATGTAAACAGAGCATCAGCATAATCACATATGAATCCATGTTTAAATAGCAAATGCCCCAGGGATAATAGCTCATAGCACTTCTTTATATGGTACTGATCTGTTTCTAGATCCAGATGGAGGTCTGGTGTCCAGTGCCAAAGATTAAACAGTCATTGTAACAAAGAGATTTTATTCTTTCATTTTCCGGGCCTAGGCCTCCTGGCCCTGTAGGATCCCCACAAAGAGGTGGTCTCCCCAGTCTTCGGATTCCTGGGCTGTCATCCGGGTCCACAATGAGCATGACCGGCTGCCGACGGAGCATATAGGCCCACGGCCCCCGGTGGACCTCGGCAGTATGGCCTCTGGAGATGGCCCCTCAGGGGTCGGGCTCTAGGTGCTCTTGTCTACCCTTCTCTGGTGGGTGCTGCCATCCCTGTGTCTGCCTTCTTGTGTTCCCGTGATCTTGGATACCTCTGGATATCTGAGGCTCCTTATCGGTCCTGGGCCCTGTACTGTGAGTCTAGGGCCGCCCATACCTGCAATTAAGCTTTTTTTTGGGTCACAAAATGCTAAATCTTCTACACATGCCCATGCATGCACACCATAAAAATTTGTGAAAACAGATTTGTTGGGCTATCATCTAGCTCTGGGACATCTATTCCAAAAACCATATTGGTAAAACAGGACACACACACAAAAAAAAGTCGACTACAGTCATCATAGTTAATACGGTTAGAACCCTCTGTACTCTAAAGGTTTTAGGGATGTAAATGATCTGGTCTTTACCAGCTTCTAACTTATGTGGAATTAACCCCATGAGTTTAAATCCCACCCCACACTGTTTGCATCAAGTGCAGATAAATCCAAAAGCCTTGATACATAAAAAGATGTAAGTCACTGAGAGAAGTAAAATGTCCATGCCATTTTCTTAAAATAAAATTTTTTGTAGTTTCAACCAAAACAAGTATTTTCTCGTTTAAGAAAAAAATTAAATAAAACTATATTTAAAAATTCCTATATCACAGAAAAAAACTAAAACATTGAATTGCTAAGTAAATATCAAATTCCAAGTCAAAGCTAATAGTGTAATTCAAGCACATGTTATAACTCATGCAAACATGACCTCATTCACTGACTACTAATGGGTTTGACCAGAGATACAACACCATGAGTAAGGTTGGTCATGAGACTCTATTAATGTATATAATGAGAAAGTAATGTGGTTTTCTGATTCTGGGAATGTCTCAGATGTCAAATGGAGAAATAAAAAAAAAAACTCTGAGCCATTTCAGGTTTTTAAGCTAGTTGAAAAATCAATAAATAGTGTTTCTAGCACTATTGTGTTATTTGTAACATTTAAATGTTTAGCTACTTACAGGTGCTGGTCATAAAATTAGAATATCATGAAAAAGTAGATTGATTTCAGTAATTCCATTTAAAAAGTGAAACTTGTATATTATATTCATACATTACATACAAACTCATATATTTCAGATGTTTATTTTGTTTAATTTTGATGATTACAAATGACAACAAATGAAAATCTCAAATTCATCATATCAGAAAATTAGAATATTACTGAAGACCAATAAAAACAAAGGATTTATAGAAATGTTGGCCAACTGAAAAGTATGAACATGAAAAGTATGAGCATGTACAGCACTCAGTATTTAGTTGGGCCTCCTTTGGCCTGTATTACTGCAGCAATGCGGCGTGGCATGGAGTCGATCAGTCTGTGGCACTGCTCAGGTGTTATGATAGCCCAGGTTGCTCTAATAGTGGCTTTTAGCTCTTCTGAATTGTTGGGTCTGGTGTATTGCATCTTCTTCTTCACAATACCCCATAGATTTTCTATGGGGTTAAGGTCAGGAGAGTTTGCTGGCCAATTAAGAACAGGGATACCATGGTCCTTCAACCAGGTACTGGTAGCTTTGGCACTGTGTGCAGGTGCCAAGTCCTGTTGGAAAATGAAATCTGCATCTCCAAAAAGTTGGTCAGCTGCAGGAAGCATGAAGTGCTCTAAAACTTCCTGGTATGTGGCTGCGTTGACCCTGGACCTCAGAAAACACAATGGACCAACACCAGCAGATGACATGGCACCCCAAACCATCACTGACTGTGGAAACTTTACACTGGACTTCAAGCAACGTGGATGAAGTGCCTCTCTTCTTTTCCTCCAGACTCTGGGACCTTGATTTCCAAAGGAAATGCAAAATTTACTTTCATCAGAGAACATGACTTTGGACCACTCACCAGCAGTCCAGTCCTGTTTCTCTTTAGACGCTTCTGACGCTGTCTGTGGTTCAAGAGTGGCTTGACACAAGGAATGCGACAGTAGAAACCCATGTCTTTCATACGTCTGTGTGTGGTGGTTCTTGAAGCACTCACTCCAGCTGCAGTCCACTCTTTGTGAATCTCCCCCACATTTTTGAAGGGGTTTTGTTTCACAATCCTCTCCAGGGTGCGGTTATCTCTCTTGCTTGTACACTTTTTTCGACCACATCTTTTCCTTCCCTTCGCCTCTCTATTAATGTGCTTGGACACTGAGCTCTGTGAACAGCCAGCCTCTTTAGCGATGACCTTTTGTGTCTTGCCCTCCTTGTGCAAGGTGTCGATGGTCGTCTTTTGGACAACTGTCAAGTCAGCAGTCTTCCCCATGATTGTGTAGCCTATAGAACTAGACTGAAAGACCATTTAAAGGCTTTTGCAGGTGGTTTGAGTTAATTAGCTGATTAGAGTGTGGTACCAGGGGCCATCAATTTTGAACCTTTTCACAATATTCTAATTTTCTGATATGATGAATTTGAGATTTTCATTTGTTGTCATTTGTAATCATCAAAATTAAACAAAATAAACATCTGAAATATATGAGTTTGTATGTAATGTATGAATATAATATACAAGTTTCACTTTTTAAATGGAATTACTGAAATCAATCTACTTTTTCATGATATTCTAATTTTATGACCAGCACCTGTATATAGTGGAGCAATACATTCTGTCTTTGTGGTCAAGGAGGACCAAACTGAAATATCTAATCTTACAGATGCAATACAAATGTGTTTTGTATTCAGTCCTTGGAATAGATCAATCTTTAAATTTATGTCAATGTGCATTAATGGTTCAAGAATATCAAATATTTTTGATTGAAAAGAGAAGGATCGGTTTAAATCAGATTAAATCTTTAATAAAACTGATACATTTAGAGGTAACTAATTAGTGCATTTTCATTTAAGTTGTTTCAAAGGTACTCTTTTTTTGTGTGTGATTTAAAGGTAGTGAATAAAGATAATGAAAGTGTGCTGCACAGTGATTCAGTGGGTAGGAATGCTGCCTTGCAGCAAGAAGTTTCCTGGTTCGATCTCCGGCCTGGGGTCTTTCTCCATGGAGTTTGCTTCTTCATTCTATGCATGCATGGGTTCTCTCCCTCTCTCTCTGGGTACTCCAGCTTCCTCCTACAGTCCAAAAAACACGACTTCTCTAAATTCTCCTTAGGTGTGTGTGTGTGTGTGTGTGTGAATGGTTGTGTCCTGTTTGTCTCTGTGTTGCTCTGAGATAGACTGGTGAACTGTCCAGGGTGTACCCCGCCTCTCGCCCATTGACAGGTGGAGATAGGCACCAGCACCCCTCACGACCTCAGCTGGGATAAGCGTGACAGAAAATGGATGGATTAAAGATACTGTACTTGGATGTCCCATTCTCACCCTAAACCAGAGCTCATGGATTGGCAGACCGCGGCCTGGACTCGGACCCACCTGCTGGCTAATCCGGACAAAACCTGGTTTAAACCATTTTTAAATTACAGCATGTTGTCCAACAGCAGTGTCTAATTTCACTTGCGACACTTCTCCTTTTTGTACGATAAAGCCCTCCGGGACCAGGCCACACGTGATGCATATTAGCCAATGAGCCGTGTCAGTCAGAGCTGTTGCTGCTAGCTATTTTTAGACACATCAGGCAAACCCGTGGCAAGCCGGGTGGTGGGTAACGATGATGAGAGAAAGTGAAAGAAAGTGTAGAGAAGAGGCACGGTGAACTGGTGACGGAAAAGTGAAATGGTGTGCTCAGAGATCACCCTGCACCTTTTGAGTATGGTTTGGCTCAACCTCCTGCTGTGAAGCATGATTCTCCACTATCAACATATTCAAAAATAAATAGCGATCCAGGCTCACAAATGAGCACCTTGATATGTGCTTGAGAATAGCTTTATCGCCAATCAGACCCCAGTTTGAAACCTTGCAGGGCAGCATAAAGCCCTTTTTATGGCTCTCATAAAGCCATAAAAAACAAAGAAAAAAACGAACAAATGTCAGTTCAGGTGTTTTATAAAATATGTGAATCAGGAAATTGTCTATATACCAAACTAAACGCCTGTTGTTCTCTACTTCAAAAAAATCTAAGGTAGTCAATGTATAACAGATGCATAAAAAACTCATTTTATTTCAGTGTTAAATTTTATTTAAAGTAACAGATTATAATTAAAAATGTCTCCAGACCTTTACTGGTTGTTGAATTTCTACAGGTGCTGGTCATAAAATTAGAATATCATGAAAAAGTAGATTGATTTCAGTAATTCCATTTAAAAAGTGAAACTTGTATATTATATTCATACATTACATACAAACTCATATATTTCAGATGTTTATTTTGTTTAATTTTGATGATTACAAATGACAACAAATGAAAATCTCAAATTCATCATATCAGAAAATTAGAATATTACTGAAGACCAATAAAAACAAAGGATTTATAGAAATGTTGGCCAACTGAAAAGTATGAACATGAAAAGTATGAGCATGTACAGCACTCAGTATTTAGTTGGGCCTCCTTTGGCCTGTATTACTGCAGCAATGCGGCGTGGCATGGAGTCGATCAGT